TTCTAATTATTTGAGGTACCTAAGGTAGTCAAATTCATAGAGACAGAAAGTAGCATTGTGGGCCGGGCGCGGTGGCTCAAGCCTGTAATCCCAGCACTTTGGGAGGCCAAGGCAGGTGGATCACGAGGTCAGGAGATCGAGACTCTCCTGGCTAACATGGTGAAACCCCGTCTCTACTAAAAATACAAAAAACTAGCCGGGCGTGGTGGCGGGCGCCTGTAGTCTCAGCTACTTGGGAGGCTGAGGCGGGAGAATGGCATGAACCCGGGAGGCGGAGCTTGCAGTGAGCCGAGATCATCTCAAAAAAAAAAAAAAAAAAAAAAGAAAGTAGCATTGTGGTTGCCAGAAGCTGGAGGGAGAAGGGATCAGGAAGTTGGTGTTAAAGAGTACAGTCTTTCAGTTTTATCAGATGAAAAGAGAGTATGGAGATTGTTCGCATAACAATGTAGATGTATTTAACCTACTGAACTGTACACCTAAACATCGCTAAAAGCAAATTTTATGTCATGTGTATTTTACCACAATTTTTAAAAACAGAATGAGCAAATCTATTCAAGTGATGTATTTTCTCAAGATTTTTACCCTGTTTCAGACAGTCTAAAAAGTAACAATTTGCATAGAACAATCACATACTTTCCAACACCCCATTGTCCTCTCTTCTAAGCTTGTTTCTCCCAGGCACCACCTGGATATATGATAAGCAAATGTTATCTAAAATCAAGGTTGTGTGCAGGAAAGGAAGAGAAATAGACAGGGGGATTTGATGTATCTGGAATTAGAAGAAAGGAGGTTTTCCCAATCCCAGAAAGGACCAATGTTCTTAAGCTCCAGGTGCACAATTTTAGTGCAGACTTGCACCTTATGACAGAACAGGAGATGTAAGCAGGTCTGCTGAGGTGTGCGCCCCAGGCTGCCTAGATCTTGACTTCTTGCCCCCAGCCTCACCAGGTACCCCCTGGCAGATGCACTGACACCACAGCTGACAGCAGCACTTTTGATGCCAGGCATCCAGGCTGGCAGCAACTGCATATTTATTTATTTATTTTTTGAAATGGGGTTTCACTCTGTCACCCAGGTTGGAGCGCAGTGGTGCAATCTCAGCTCACTGCAACCTCCACCTCCCAGGCTCAAGCGATCCTCCCACCTCAGCCTCCTGAGTAGATGGAAACACAGGTGCAACACCATCACGCTCAACTAATTTTCTTTGTATTTCTAGTAGAGTCAAGGTTTCACCATGTTGTTCAGGCTGGTCTCGAACTTCTGAGCTCAGGCGATCTACCTGCCTCGGCTTCCCGAAGTGCCAGGATTACATGAGTCACTGTGCCTTGCCAACAACTGCATCTTTAAAAACAGTGTTATTGAGAAATAATTCACTCAAGCAGTTGGATTTGAATGTACTTGGTTCACTGTACTTATCTCTCAGGTGCAAACAGCATGCAATTTGATGCTTTATCCTGGCTTTGCAGCTGAATAGGAGAGGTTGGAACAAAATTCCAAGCTATCACTATATGCAGGGCTACTGATTTAGGGTGAACCAGTACATCCTGATTAACCTCCCTCTACATTTCTTTTCATGACAGACATGTTAATTACTTTGCCAGCAAATATCCATAGGAAAGTCTAATTGGATTATTTATAGTTCTATTTTATGATTAAAATTGGGGAAAAGGCATCAAAATATAGCTTCCAATAACTAGAATCAAATACAAAAAAGTGATGATAATAAAAATAGGGCACATGGAGTCAGACTCTGGGAAACATCCTAGGTGCATAATCTCATTCTTCCTTTGAACAACTGATAAGATAGGAGTTTGTCCATTTCACTGATGTGGAAACTGAGGCTAGGGAAGTCAAATTAAGTTAGAAACAGTATAGCAAATAATTGAGTCCAGGGTTCCCAGATGCCAGAGCAGCCTGCCTCTCTCACTGCCTTGAATGACCTTGAGTAAGTTGCTTATCTGATTCTGTGATCTCAATGATCACAGAAACGCCTGTTTCATTCGCAGTGCTACAGCAATGAGTATGTGAGAATGTCAATGCAAATGCACTTAGAGCAGGGCCCGTAGAGCCTGTGCACTCTTTTTTCCCTTCCTCCTGTCTTCTCCTCCTTCTCCCCATGCAAAGTCACAGTAAGTACTCAGATGGACTAAGAGCACAATTAACTGTGATTGTGATCCTGGTTTTCCTGCCAATACTCTCAGTGAACAGACGGGGAAGCCGGGAAGAGAAGGCAGAAGTCCCTTGTTCTTGATGTGAGCCAGTGTGGTTGGAACAGACATGTTCAAAGAGCGAGGGAGGAGGACAGAAAGGACTGAAGCTTTATAGAGAAGTGGCAGCTTCTAAGAGGGAAGAGAATTCGCAGATTGTGCTGAAACCATTTGGAGAAAGTTCTTTTTACACAATCTTAAAGAAACTTCCCACAGAGTATTTATTTATTACAAAAGGGAGTAAAAAGTTGCCATGGAGAAACTAAATTTAAATGATCCATTTAAACTTTTGGATCACTTTAAATAAAAGTGATGGTGGATCACTGTAGACAAAATCAAATAGAACATCATTAAGAATAAGACCAGCTAATACTATGCCTCCTGACAGGTGCACTGAGAACACAGCACTGCTTAGGTGCTTAGACACTCTTCACAAAACTCAGCAAGTCACATCTGCACTTAGTCTCAGGTGGTCAACGACAATAATAACATCTATGTATGTGTACGTAAATAAAAGAATAAGAAAATTAGGACAATATTAACAACTGGTGAATCTACGTGAAGGGTATACAATATTCATTATACTATTCCTGCTCCATTCTGTAGATTTGGAAAAAAAAAAAAAAAAAAATCATCGGAGGAAAAAAGAAGCCAAGTCATTTTTTTAATGAGCAGATAACAGTTTTGTGGTTCTTCAAAAAGTTCAGCAGAGGCTTACCACACGCCCCAGCAATTGAACTCCTAGGTTTATACACTAGAGAAATGAAAATGTGTCCACACAATAATTTGTATGTGAACGTTCATATAGCATTATTCATAACAGTCAAAAGGTAAAAACAACTGAAAGGTCCACTAATGGATAAGTAGATAAACAAACTCTGGTATAGTCATGCAATGGAATATTACTCAGCCATAAAACAAGAAAATTCTAATACGTTCTACAACATGGATGACCTTGAAAACATTATGCTAGGTGAAATACGCCAGACACAAAAGGACAAATAAATGATTCCGCTTACACGAGGTACCTAGAGTGGTTAAATTCATAGAGACAGAAACAATGGTGGCTGCCAGGGGCTGAGTGGTGGGAGAAATGAAGAGTGATTGTTTATTGGGTACATTGTTTCCTTTTGGGATGATGAAAACATTTTGAAAGTAGATGGAGGTGGTGGCTGCACAATATTGTGAATGCACTAAATGTCACTGAATTGTTCGTTTTAAATGATTAATTACGTCATGTGAATTTCATGTTAATTAAAAAAAGAGCACATAGAGAAATGAGGAGGAAGATGTTCCAACTTAGACAATAGAGTGTGCCTGGGAAGAGACAACATTCAGGGTGAGCACTCACACCCATGAATCTGCTGAGTGGAACAGAAACGGAGGACCTGATTTGTACTGCCAACCAGTTCTGACACGTGCCAATCCAAACGGAGAATGTGAAATCATGTAATTACAGTTTACCTGAATTCTGCAAATATGTGCAGAAAGACTTACAGTGCAGTAAGAATTAATGATAGGCTGGCTCAGTATGTGCCGTGTTTAAAAGACACTTCGGCTCAAGAGGGGCCAACAGGAGAAAGTGAGCAAGGCTGTGATCCCAGGGGCCAAGACTGCAGAGGGAAAACCTGGATGCAGAGGTGACATGCCCACGTGGCTGCAGCTTCTGCTCTGCCGGGGCTGGAGAGTGTTTAAAAGCCATCTGCCCCTTTCATTTAGAAATCACATTTGCTTTCACTCAACAAAGCTGACACAGAAAAAGTGACCCAGTCAGATGTGTGTGACCTAACATGTTACCCTTTCCAGAAATAACCACACATTCCATTAGAACCATTAAAAGAATGTTATGCTTTAGCATTTTTGTTCTAAAAACCTCTTATCACTAAAGAAATTTGCATTCACTATGAAAACATTTATTTATTTATTTATTTATTTATTTATTTAGAGGCAGGGTCTCACTGTGTCACCCAGGCTGGAGTACAGGAGTGCCATCTCAGTCCACTACAGCCTCGACCTCCTTGGCTCAAGTGATCCTCCCACTTCAGCCTCCCAAGTAGCTGGAACTACAGGCACACACCATGGCACCTGGCTAATTTCTTTATTTGTAGAGTTGGGGTCTCCCTATGTTGCTCAGGCTGTTCTCAGCCTCCTAGGATCAAGCAATCTTCCTGCCTCGGCCTCCCAAAGTGCTGGGATTACAGGCATGAGCCGCTGTTCTCAGCCCACTATAAAACTTTTTTAAAAGTAGGTAGATGAAAAGAATCCCCTGGAAAAAGCCACTGCTATAATCTTGCTGCACTTCTTGCCAGCCTGAGAAGGCAATACTTAATGGTAAGAAATGATTTATTCAGGATGTGACTTTGAGAACCTCAGAAACTTTCTCGGTGACCCTCAAATTATAATACATTGAGGCTTTCTATTAAGCCAATGGGTCCCAGCCCTAAGATAACCCTTCCCAGAGATGGAAGCAAATTTCTTGCGCTTGAACTGTGCATCCAGAGAATCTGGCGATGAGGGAATCATGAAGAAATGGGCAGATGATCAAGATAAATACCCATTACTCCCCTCCTTACAAACATTAAAAGAATTACTAAGTCGCAAGAAAGAGCAAGAGCTGAAGTTAATAGATTTTGCAGGCCAGTTCTCAACCCCGACGGACACAGGAAAACAAAATAAACGATGCCTCTGACATAATTTAGTGTCTGGCTCAGAAGCTGATCGAAATTGGCTTGAGCCTTTACTTCTTCTATCACGATCTCTAGAAGGACATAGTCCCCCGAGCCACGCACTTACCCATCCAGACTTCCCCAAACTGCCCAGCGCCGAGCCTTTTCACCAACTTGATGGACTCCCGGGGGATCTCCCAGGCATCTTTATCCCATGGCTTCTGTGGCTTAGGACTAATACAAGCCTTCTCCAATCTTCTGCACAAGCCATCTGGCTGCTCTAATTTGAAAGGGAAAAATTAAGGTTAAGAAATGCTATACTTTGGACTTCACCTGTGTCTATAAAGAAGAGTTTCAACTAGGAGCCTTATAGTGTCCAACCTGCCACAGTCTGTGAACTAAAATGCACCCTTCACATAATTGTGACTTTTTAAATTTGTGGGGTTTTTTGTTTATTTTTCTTTTTTTTGAGATGAAGTTTCACTCTTGTTGCCAAGGCCGGAGTGCAATGGGCGATCTCAGCTCACTGCAGCCTCCGCCTCCCGGTTTCAAGCAATTCTTCTGCCTCAGCCTCCCAAGTAGCTGGGATTACAGGAGACTGCCACTATGCCCAGCTAATTTTTATATTTTTTAGTAGAGACAGAGTTTCACTACGTTGGCCAGGCTGGTCACGAACTCCTGACCTCAAGTGATCCATCCGCCTCGGCCTCCCAAAGTGCTGGGATTATAGGCGTGAGCCACCAGCCTGAAATCTGTATAAGAAAAACCATTGAAAACATACTTGATTGTATTCATCAGCGCTGCTAACATACATGAACAAAAATAACAAAGCCAACAGACAACCACAGGCTGACAGGTTGTCACACTTAATAAAATGTGATTTCAGATTACTGAGCCTACATTAAGCTTCACGGGGTACCATAGTGGGGAGTCGGTCATGTCACCACTGGACCCTAGGCCCCAGAACAGAGCCAGAGCACCACAAGCTCTCAGCACGTGCAGGATGCAAACAGGAATGGGAGGGCGGAGGGAGGCAGGAATCTACAAAATCGGAAGCACGTTGCTCTCTCCATGTTTTGGGACTCAAGCAAACCTATAATATGCATTCCTTTCGAGCAGGTCATAGAAAGGAGCCGGGGCAACAACCACTCAACTGACTCCAGTCACACAGCAAAGGGACCCAGAGTTTCAGGCCCAGGCTTTGCAGGGCTGCAAAGTGGCACTGGAGACAGGGACATTGACCTGCCACTTCTAAATATTTCAGTGGTAGTGTTATTTCTGTTTGACTTTACCAAGAATATATATTACTTTTACACACACACACACACACACACACACACACAAAAACACAGATCTGCAAATCTGCATTCCTATTCCAGATATTCAAAATATTTCAGTGGTAGTGTTATTTCTGTTTGACTTTACCAAGAATATATATTACTTTTACACACACACACACACACACACACACACACACACAAACACAGATCTGCAAATCTGCATTCCTATTCCAGATATTCAGATGTGTTGTAAAAATATATGCAAAGATAACATATATTTTTCTCTTAGTAATTTTGTAACACTGAATGTCAACCAGCATGTACTACTAGGTGGGAAGGACTGGGAGGATCACAAGGATCAAATCTTACTCTGTGTATTTAACTACAGATGAATTAATTACTTTTATTTTATTATTTGTTTTTTGAAACAGAGTCTTGCTCTGTCACCTAGGCTGGAGTGCAGTGGGGTGATTTCAGCTCACTGCAATCTCTGCCTCCTGTGTTTAAGTGATTCTCCTGCCTCAGCCTCCTGAGTAGCTGAGACTACAGGCACATACCACTATGCCTGGCTAATTTTTTTTTTTTCTGGTAGAGATGGGATATCACCATGTTGGCCAGGCTGGTCTCGAACTCCCGACCTCAAGTGATGCACCTGCCTTGGCCTCCCAAAGTGCTGGGATTACAGGCGTGAGCCACTGTGCCTGTCCTAACTATAGATTAATTTACAATCATTTATAGAATATGACCTGCAACTGTATCTAAGAGAAATATGATGCCTAAAAAGTTTTAATATAAAAATAGCCTGTGACGTCTTATACATATCATAACAAATATATTTTGTCTTGTTGAACGTTCAGTTTTTACTTACTTTGGTAATGTTTAATCATGTCGCTAATACAGGGAAAAGTGATTCGTGGAGAGATGTAATAGCCCCCATTATCCAGACTTCTGATTTTGTAGTGCTTAATAACATCCCCATGCACAGGGTCAAAGTCTCTGACAGACAGAGAGAAGCTTCCTATGGGGGGGAAAGGTATAAGTAAATATTTATATCTCACAAATAAGATTTGCATTATACAACAACTGCAGTACACATTTTGTGATTAAAAATACGCAATATATATATATATGAAGTTTGTATAAAATGCACAATTTTAAAAGTCCTATAAAAATTCTCCTTGACAAATGAAGCCACGTTTTGTTTGCTGTGCAGCTTGCCAACATACCATTTTCTTTCTTCATGATAATTTTAAAAAATTATTATTTAGCTACATTAAAAAATTTTTAAGTTATTTTGATTTTCTTTTTCTTTTTTTTTTGTTTCACAGGTTCTTGCTCTGTCACCCAGGCTGGAGTACAGCGGCACAATCATAGCTAACTGCTGCCTTGACCTCCTGAGTTCAAATGATCTTTCTACCCCAACCTCTGAAGTAGCTGAGACTACAATCATGCACCACCACACCTGGCTAATTTTTAAATTTCTTATAGAGACAGGCTCTTGCTGTGTTGCCCAGGCTGGTATCAAACTGCTGGGTTCAGTGATTCTCATGTCTCAGCCTCCCAAAGCATTGGGATTACAGGCCTGAGCCACCATGCCCAGCCTAATTTTCTTTGTCTTAAAATTTCAGGATTTATTCTAAATAATAATGCAAAAGGCTCAGCAAACAAAGCATGCTAAGAACTGGCCACAATCCTGTGTGCTTTCTACCGTACTTTTTTCTTTTCTTTTTTTTTGAGACAGTGCCTCACTCTGTCACTCAGGCTAGCTAGGAGTGCAGTGGTATGATCACAGCTCACTGCAGCCTACCTTCCTTGGGTTCAGGTGATCTTCCTACCTCAGCCTCCAGAGTAGCTGGGACTATAGGCATGCACTGCCAGGCCTGACTAGTTTTTTATTTCTTGTAGAGATGGGGTCTTGCTATGTTGCCCAGGCTGGTCTCCAACTACTGGACTCAAGTGATCCTCTTGCCTCGGCCTTCCAAAATGTTAGGATTACAGGTGTGAGCCACCACACTCAAGTATATTACTTTTGGCAGCACAACTAACGATTGGAGTTTGTTATTTTTTATCAAACTATAAAACTTTTACTACCAGAGCATACTATATCCTTTTTTCCCCTTGAGTAATTCTAGAATAGTTTCTAAAAATAATTTCCTAAATAGTGTTTTAAAAGAGGCCTTGAACCATTTCCTACCTTTTAACGTTTCACTTTCTCTAATAAGGAAAGCGCCAGCACTATTTCCTGGTGCCAAAAGCTGCCTCTCTGCATCCTTCCTGGTTATATCCTTGAAAAACCACCTGTGAAGACATTTCAACATTTCATGCATATTATGTTCCAGAGCAAGAAAAAGGTGAAGAATATTAACAAGAAATCCAATGTGGCAAACAAAGCCACCAAGATGACAACACATGAGGACTCACTCTTCTGTTTCTAAGGTGTTGAGTTTGGCCACATAGTTGCTGGGGATGAAGCCTTCTTTTTTTGTTAAAAGGGACTTTGCTTTCCACCATTCTCCATGCCTAGAATAGAAATATGCATCAAAAAGGAAGCTAGAAGATTACATATTCCATGCCTGTATCAAAATATCACAGATATCCCATAAATATGTATTTATGTACAGATACTAGGTATCAATTAAAAAATTAAAAATAAAGAAAACATGGAGTTACCACAGGACCCAGCAATTACACTCCTTGACCTATACCCAAGAAAGATGACACCATAACATCCACACAAAAACCTGTACATGAATGTTCAAAGCATCATTATTTGTAAAAGCAAAAAGTAGAAACAACCAAAATGCCTATCAACTGATGAATGGACAAAATCTGGAATATCCGTCCAGTGGAATGTTACTCAGCAGTGAAAGGAACGGAGTGCTGAGAGATGCTACAACAGGGACAAACTTTGAAAACATTATGCTAAATAAAAGAAGGCAGCCACAAAGGACCACATATTATATGATTCCATGTGTGTGAAATATCCAGAATAGGTCAGTCTTCAGAGATAAAACGTAGATTTGTAGTTTTCTAGGGCTGGAGAGAATGGGAGAGTAGAAGTGACAGCTAAGGAGTCCAGGGTTTCCTTTTGGGGTATTTAAAATGTTCTACAACGGATTGTGGTGATGGTTGTACAATTCTGTGACTACACTAAAAAAATCACTGAATTGTACACTTTAAATGGGTGAATTGTGTGGTATTGTGAATTCTCAATAAAGCTATCAAAAAGAGAGAGAGAGAAAGAAAAGAAGCCGGGAGTGAGGGTTTTGAATGTTCACAACACAAAGAAATAATAAATGTTCAAGGTGATGGATACGCTAATTATGCTGATTTGATCCGTACACACTGCACACATGCATCAAAATATCACTCTGTATCCCATGGCTGCATATAATTATTCCATGTCAACTAAAAATAAAAGGAAAAAAGTGTTTATATCCAAGACTCAACAGCTATAATAGCAATTGTCTCAAGATGTTTGTTTAGGAGGGTGAAGGTGGGTGGAGAACATCTCTGGAACCCCAGAATCCAGTGGGAAAATTCACTCTTCGTGATGGAATTAAAATATGTTTAGAGACAGAAGCAAAGAAAAACAGACTTACAACTAAAGCATGTGCCACTGGGATCAGGGGTGCACAAAGAAGAGTTGGTACAAATGGCTCCCATCTCACAGAAGCAAAAGGTTTGTAACTTGCCCCAGGATAGCTAAGAAATGCTTTCAAAGCCTTATAGAAATGACAGTCAAGGGAATACTGGTCCATAGTTCATGCATTATAAACTCCTTTGTTCAAACATCTAGTTATCATAGAGATGGACACCATGAAAAAAAGAAAACCGTAAGACAATTCCAAGCAAGTGAGCCTCATCACCATGCTTGAGTCCTCAGCAGAAAGGTAGGCATGGAGCCAGGGAGGAGGAAGGGACCAGCACTGGAAGAAGCAAGCAGGTAAGCCGGTAATGGGGGAAGGAATGGGTCCCTTTGAGCCTTAACTGCACTCCTCTATAAATTCCACACACAGACAGGATCCTTGTCTGTACGGCATGAAGACAACTAGAACTAATACTAAGCTCTGCCTCCTCTTTGCTTATGTTTATACACATGCATCATGCTCACATCAACCCCATGATCTAGGTACTGTCATTCCCATTTTATAAGTAAAGAAATCAAGGTACAAAAGTTTAACGGTCTTGTCAAGGTCATACAGCTATCAAGTGGCAGGGCCAGGATCAGGCTTAAGTTCATGTTCAACCCATAAGCAACATTGCTGTCAACCACGGAACAGCTTGTCCTTAATAAGGGGGTCTCCCCCTCAAACCCTATTTGGCAGGTCATAACGACATTTAATGCAAGATTAGTAAGAAAAACAAGCTAGAATTAAAGCAACTGGAGTTTCTTATTCTGCGCACTGTCCTGCATGCCTATGGTCTGACACTGCCACATGTCTGAGTCAGCAAGAGGGGGTCGAGGAGATGATGACACTCAGGCATCCTCACAAAAGCATGGTGGCTGCTGAGTCAAGAATTTTCCAACACGGCTACTGTAGCTCAGCACCCTTAGAACTCAAACTAGGCTGGGCCCATGAACCCAGTCTAAACATGAGTAATATAACAAAAGAAAAGTGCCATTTCAAATATCATGCATGGGCCACACAGACCCAAATTTCTTAAGGTGGCAAGAGTGGATAAAGAAAGAAACCAGGCTAGGTGTGGTGGCTCCCACCTGTAATCCCAGCACTTTGGGAGGCCAAGGCAGGAGAATTGCTTGACAGCAGGAGTTCAAGACCAGCCGGGGCAACATATCAAGATCCCATCTCTACAAAAATTTTAAAAATTAGCCGGGCATGGTGGCACATGCCTGTAGTCCTAGCTCCTCAGGAGGCTAAGGTGAGAGGATTGCTTGAGCCTAGGAGTTCAAGGCTGCAGTGAGCTATGATCATGCCACTGCATTCTAGTCTGGATGACAGAGAGAGATCCCATCTAAAAAAAAATTGTTTTAAAGAAAAACCAGCATCTGTCTTCAAAGGGAAACCCCCTGCAGAGCGCTCACAGACGGACTTAAAAGGAAAATCCCTTTGGCTGTATTCCTTCCACTGCCCACTCCCTGTGGATAGCAAGGAGGCCTCATGCCCATTACAGGAAGGGAGCTAGGCTATGGCTGCAGCACCAGAAGCAAGACAAAGGGACAGCCTGCAGGGCTCAGTGGCCTGAGGAAAGGAGCAGCCGTGGCATGCTTGAGAGCACTTACTCCTCCAGGACTTTCATCTTCTCTCCTTTCTTGAAAGACAAGTCGTCCGGGTGGATGCCATCATACGGGTACAAGGCTACCACAATGTCTCCTTGTTCCTCTGGATCTAAAAATGAACACAAGAGAACATCTGTAGGAATCCATCAGCAGAAGCATTTTAACAAACCTCATGGGGTGCAAAGGATGAGAGGAAGCACTAAGAGAGGGGCGACTGGAAGAAGGACGTGTGCTTCCTGCCTAGTGGGCTCAGGGTCTGCACGCCCACCGAGAGTAGCTTGCTGTATACACTGTGTCC